CATGCTGGAGGTGGTGGTGGGGCAGAGCAAAAGGCTGTGCGACTTGCCATCTGACGAGAGCAAGCAGTCAGCCATACTGAAAGCTGGAAATGGACCAGCCATTAACGCTCCTGCCATTAGATGTTGCTTAGAGTACCTGGGGAGAAAATTTCAGCCTAGCACTTCCACAAAGTGAGCGATGCCTTTGTCTGGCTACCTCTGTGCCCAGATGGCCCTCTTGGGTTTGTTTGTAGAGGGTTTCTAGATGTCTGCCCGGGAAGTGCTTGGCCCTCGAGGGTATAACAGAAATGAAGGGTTTTCATTTGAGCCGTACGCCTCTCCTCCTTGCTGGTAAATTGCTGGTGATGCACTTTCTTATGGCTTTTAAGCCTTTGGGATAAAACGGGAAACAATCAGAGGTCAAGTGAAAAAGAAAGAGTTTTGCTGAAGAAGTAGAGAATGAGGCCGAGATGTAGGTCAGATGCACACCGCACAGGACTTTAAAGGCTATTTTCTACAGCTAAATTGTACTTGGAGACTTTTTGAAGTTCACATCTGGTGAGCAGATTTAAGGTATGAGCCTTCAGTGTTTGCATAGTAGTTTCTTTGCTTGCTCTCTAAACACATGACCTGGAGACCTCCCTTTTGGTGAAAATGTTTGAGAATCTTGCTGAGCTTCTTCTACTTGCACATTGCAGAAGTGCCTGTGGAGGCTCCAGAAATGCAGAGGCAAATTGAGGCTTCCTATTTTCGGATTACCCACCACCTGTCACACTGTTCTGCAAGTCCAGCCCTGGGCAAGGGACCAAAGAGCCTCTGGAAGCATCCTCGGGAGACCTTTGGGATGCTGGATGACAGAGCATTATCACAGTGTGACCCAGCCACCTGGGAGGCCTGTGGGGCTGCCTGCTGGCAGCCCGGTGATAGAGGCAGAGGGATTTGGCTGAAGTCTTTGGGACTAGAGGAGTGGTGGGAGATGATATGCGTGGGTTATGCCTGATTCTTCCTTCACTCTGGTGTTGCTCTTGCGTTTGATCTCGCTGGAGTTGCTCCAGACTTGCGTCAGAGTCGGCCCCAGCTCTCCTTTCCTCCGACAGAAATCTGGAAGAACTCTGTTGAAGGCAGCAGAGCAGCAGAAAAATATTTATAGACAGGAAGGGAATCTGGTCTCCCCCCACCCTTTGGCAGAATAACTATCAGTTTCCTTAAGATACATGCTTGGCAGCAGTGAAACGTAATTCATCCCAGTGAGTGAGTATACTTCTCAGCATTCATCAGATGTAAAATGTCATGGATTTGTCATATAATTCAATTTCTTCCATTTGGATATATGTTAGGAATGAAGTCAGCTGAGGAGATGACAAAAGGAGTATTGATGCTATGGTCCCCACGCATATTTCGATGGGAGGAATGAAATGCCAGTCAGCTGGCAGTGCACACTGCTGTGCAGCCTGCTCAGCGCCTGCCATGCCCACCCGTCCCCAATACCTGGGACTAGCAAATTGGTCCAAGTGATGCCATCTGGACACCCCAAGAAGTTGGGAAGTATGCAGGCTCTCTCCAGGCAGCCCAGGGAGAGCTGCAGGGAAGCCCCTCACCATCCTAGGCAAGCATCCCTACTCATAGCCTGCAAACGCTAGTTTAAACTAGTGTTAAAAAGAATCAGTAAATTATCTCATTGGTTTATTGGGTGTTTTTTGGAAACTGTCACGTTCTTCCTATAAACTGTAGCTGTAGGTTCACATTTTATTCTGCCTTGCATTTAAGACAAGACAGGCTCTGACTTGATGGTGGTTCTGTCACCACTTGTAACATTTGAGGAAAAACCCTGCACTGTTTCTTCACTTTTAGTAGGAGTATTATTCACCTTGAAGCAATGGCAATAATCACTCCTTTTGAAATAGATGAGAACTGAAGTGACTTTATGGGAAGAATGAGAGCAGTGAAAATACTGTTTTATAGGTAACAAGGATCTGTTTTGCAAAGGGGGATGCTGTTGCCCTCATGCATAGAAATTCTTGGCCGGATCTGCAGTGCCATCCTGCCTGTGGGGAGCTGGGTGCGGTGTCTTCCATCAGCTGAGATCTGTGTGGCGCCAGAGGCAATTTTATCTTTTGGCTGCTAGGACTGGGAAGGAGGCTTATTCCCCACTCCTCCTCTTGCTTGCCTCAGCCTCAGTGAGTGTGTGGAGCACCAGCTGTTTCACAGGACAGCAGTAAGGTTGCTGTGGGTGCTGGGGATTGCAGTCTGGACCTCAGTGAGCTTCCTGACTGTGGGGCTAATCCAAAGCAGGTATGAAGGCAGGAGATGAGGGCTGTTCCCTTGCGTTGGTTACACTTGGCAGGGGTGGCTTTGTGGGACCCTGCCCAGGGCAGTTCTGGTGTTCCTGTGAACAGCCCTCCCCAGGGCTGGCTTGTGCCCTGAAGTGCCTGTGGCAAACAATAGTTATTGCCTGTGAAATGCTCCTCGAATGTCTTTTCCAAGCACGCTGTGGTTGGCCAAACAGTGCGCGTGTTACTTCTCCATGGAGGGAGTCTGGCAGCAGGGGCAGTGCAGGCAGCCCAGGCTCAGTCCTGGAGGTGTCCCTGCTCTGCCTTGCTGTGGATCAGCAAATAAGAGGACAACCATGGGTTAACATAGACATGTTGGAGGGTGCGCTAGGCAAGGATCAACCCGTGTGCAGCCTTTTGCTATGGAAAACTCCAAGGAAGTTATTGGCTTTCCTGACACACATGAGCGGGAAAATAAGTTGTGAAAGATGGGGACCCACGCTGGGTGAGGCATGGGACAGCCTTGATAGGCTGGTGGCTGCCAGCTACAAGGGAGAGGATGAACCAAGCATATATATCTATTTATTTGTGTTTGTAATGCAGTTCTGTGTTTGGCTTAAACTTGTGTTTTCGTATAAATAGCTTTAGTGGGCTTTGCATGAAGGCAGAATCCCCTTAATCATCACTATCTCCTCCGTGCCTGCTTGCTGCTCAACTCTTCTGTTTTTTGGAGTCACTGCTCTGTGGAGCTGGGGCTTGAAGATGGGAGTGGGCTGAAAAGGTACACAGTAGGTCCCCCAGTGTGCATTGAATTTCCTAAGGTAAAATACGGGCTGCTCTCTGGGACAAACCACTGTTTGGTGGGAATTGGTGTAGCTGCATTAATTCCAGTGCATCATTACCTCTGGGGATCTGTGTGATGGTCACACAGCACATTTAATTGGTGTAGCTGTAGCATTGTAACAGTTAATTACTAGTTTATGAACCCCTTGTATTGCCCCAGCTCCTGGCATTGACCCATCATGTTTCTGTCCCTGGACTGGGGTTATCCTGGTGTTGGGGACCTGCTGGGCAACACTGAGGGAATGTGGTTGGGGTCAGCTTCTGTAGCAGGAGAAGCTTCCGTGCCTGAGGAGCTGCTCAGTATCTGGAAGGAGGGTATGGTACTGAAGGTAAGAAAAGGGTGACAGGAAAGTTGTATGCTGTATGAGAACACCTAGCTGTGGGAGTGTTGCAATAGCAATCTCTGCTGAGGGCTGCCAGTGGAGCCCCATTTGGGGGAAAGTGATTTCAGTGCTGTGGCTCCTGCCAAGTGGATGCGGTCACTGCCGACAAAAGCAGCGGCAGTCTTTCCCCAGACAAGGGCACAACCTTCAGTCAGGGGTGCCTTTTCACATGCTGGTAAGTTAGTTGTGTGTGTGAGTTTCTGTTTGTTTATAATTTCTTCTTTTTCTAGTTAAAATATGTAGTGATTTTTATGCCTGCGAAAGTGGAAGACCATAAGCGTTGGCGCAGGTGACCTTGCATGACTGCAGTATGGAATCCAGGGCTAACCAAGTCTCCCCAGTCCCTCCTCCCTCTCCATCCCTGCTTTTTCCTGCACAGTCCTTGGGAAGAGATTTTCGTCTGTGTCAGAACCTGCAGGGATTTTGTGTTTGGGATGCATATCCTCCCTGGGATTAATTTAAGACTTGTTTTATTAGTGACCTAATCCATATCTGGATCCATTTCCCTGGCCAGTGCCTCCTAACTCAGTCGTGCTTTCTTCTCCTGGCAGCTCTGCAGTAGGAGACTGCTGGAGAACTGGTGCAACGGTCTGTGACCACTACCAATGGTGTGGACTTTCTCCTGCTCCCTGTCATCAGATGTGATGAGTAGTTGAGGAAATACTATGGGAATAGGTATGAGAAACCTTGCTGCCTATGGTTTTACTGTGCAATGGCCACGAAATAAGAGGAGGCCTGTAGACACAGTGGTATGCTTTCTGTTGTAAGGTGTACCTCTTGGCTCTTTTCTTGGGGAGCATACAGTTTTTGAGCCATGCTGTTGTGTGTATCACTGAAGGTAATACTTTCACAGTCCTTCCCAGGAAGGGAGAGTGTAGTTTGCCTGACAGAGCCTCGGTGGAGGAGGTTTATAAAGTACCTTTTAATTAAAGATGAGGAAACCAAGATGTGGAGAGATTAAGGACCAGTTTTCTAAAGAAGCTCTGTGGCTAGTCAGGACTAGATTTTTCAAAAGAGCTCAGCTCCTATTGAAGTAGTAAATGAACAACTGGATTTTCAAAGCATCCAATCATGTTGGATGCTGAGCTCTTCCAAGCTTGGCTGTAATTGTCAGTGGGAACTGCCCACCCCAGGCAAAGGGAGGGTGTTCCTCTCCCACTGTAGTCAGTAATGGAGTTGTTTACATCTGAGCCTAGCCCCTTGCACCGTGGGGAGAAACAGGTGCTCGGGGCTGTGAGAGGTTTGACTGTGTTAGTTTTGCACAGGGGAGGTGGATATTGGATGCGCTCATTCTGTTTGTCACAAAGGACCATGACCTCAGAGGGACATGTCTATGTGCAAGGTGAACCCCCATTGTTTCTGTTGTGCTCTGTCAGCTTCAACATCATTTACGGAGAAGTTCAACATCATCTACTGTGAACTTCCCAATGCTTCCTGAGTGAGAGGGTCGTGTGGGTAGTTGTAAGCAGATGCTTAAACCAAGCATCTATGAAAGAAGATACTAAAATTATTGAAGATGCTGTAATGTAGTTTGGTGCCTTTCTTGAATTGGCACTGGAAATGTTTTCTGCTTTCCCTGAAAGCCATTGAATTCTGTTAAAAATAAAAGGACATGAAAGAGCCTGTAACTGGTGTGCCAGATTATTGCTGTTAAGAATACTGAATCTGAAGATCAGAAAAAACTGAACTGTCGTGAAAGCTTTTCTTCTCCAGTAATTACCTAGTTTTGAATGGAGGTCCCAGTGGGGCAGGACTGCCCAAGGAAGGAAGGAGGAATGTAGTGTGTATTGTCCTTTTATATTCTAGGCAAAAATGTATAGGAAATTAAAGAAAATACATTTTCCTGTGGAGATGCTTAAGCTCATGCTGTGTTTGCATGAAAGGCTGCTGCAGGAAGCTCCATGTCAAAAGGGAATGACAAATAAGGGAAATTTTGCCACTGTGCTCAGAACTTGCATCCATGTCCTGCATTCGTTGCAGGGTGGTAGGGGGACATGGTGGTCCCTGCCTCTCCCTCATGTCCATCAGTCATTCAGAGCAGCTGTGTGGAGGCTGCTCTGCATCAATGGTGCTGCTCAGGTAGCTCTGTCGTGTCCCAGTGTGCTCCCCAGAAGTAGGAAGTGAAGTTCCTCCATCTTAATTCTTATGGCCCTTTCCCGGGGCTGTGCCACACAGTCCGCCAGCTGCAGCCATCCTCGCTTGATGTGGGTGTCTTCAGATGGCTTCCATCAGCTCCACTAACGAGCAGTGTGGCTTTATTGTTAAAAAGCACATGAAAGATGCCCACGGAAGTTGCCAATTTCCCTCCCTGGCCTTTCTTAAAATCATAAAATGAAATCTTGGGGTTGCCTGTTGTGGCACAGATGCCAGCAGTAGTTCTGCTGTGTAGCTTAGTGCAGGCACACACGCACTCAGCACTTTGAGAATGTTTTCCCTTTTTTGCTCTTTTCATTTTCCCCCCCTTTTTTCTCTGCAGTTTTTTTTATTTGTTTGTATTATTTTCTGTGCATGCATTCTAAATAACAAGAAATTGAGGAGAACCTAGTAGGGAGGAAGCCTGCATTACTCTCCTACTTTCCATCCCAAGGGACATGCTGTGCTGCATTTCCCATCTATGGAGCAGAGCCTGTGGCCTGCAGCTCTGCAGCATGCCAGTCATCACCAGCCCAAGTTCAGCAAAGCTTCTCCTGCCCTGAAAGTTAGTTGCCTTGTGTGGAAGTGGGCAGGACTGTCTCCACTGGCAGCTCACCCTCTGAGAGGGACATGGCATGATGCTCTGTGCACACATCGTTTATGGGACAAACTGAAAAACAGAGCTGCCTTGGTTCATCCAGGTAGCAGTCTGTGCCACCTTGTGCAGTTGGGTGTTGCAGTGCTGAGAATGGCATTATTGCCCCTCTATTTTCAAACAAGAAGGAAAAGTGTATGGTACTTGTGGAAGGATACTTTTGGGGGGGGTGACAGGGCGGTAGCAGAGGGGGTTTGAGTGAAGCAGTGTTTGGATGAGCTGAGCTCCTCTGGTGGAAAGCATGGCCATCGTGCGCTGCTGGAGAGCTGTGTGTTCAGCCGTCCAAGGCCAGCCCGAGGCCAGGGAAGCTGAGGTAACCCACCGCATTGCTTGCCATATGTTTCCAATCACTATTTTTCTGGCTGCCTCCAAGAATTAGCTGGTCTGACCTCACTGCAGTGCGAGGGCTGCAAGGAACAACGCCGCCTTCACTGTGCAACGGCGTCCAGCCAGGGGGGCCGGGGCTGGGGGCAAGCACAGCATGGCATGCCAGCTCCCTGCCCCAGAGAGGGGGGGACCTTTTTCCCCCTGTATTCCATGATGCACAAGAAAACCTCTCTGAAGACCATATTATTTTTATATAATTTCTGTTTTACTACCTGGTGGAGATGTATCTCCCCAGGACCGGACAGCCTGGAGCATTGCTGGTTTGAGAGGTACAAGTACCATAGATTGCTTCTGGTTTACTCCTGAACAGGCATAACCCACTCTTCTGGGTAAGTGACAGAACAAGCTAGATGGTGATCTCAGCCGACCCTTCAAAGAGTGGAGGGCCAAGGAAAAGAGGAAATTCTCTAACCGGAAGTTAATGGCAAGTTATTGCAGACCTGTCAGAAGCAAGATCAGGAAGGAGAGCCTTTTTCATGCATTTTGTTTTCCTCTCTCAAACTTATCGATACCAACCTTTTATTTTATGCAGGTTCACAACCAGCAGGAGCCCAGTGCAAAGGTGGAAGGGATCTAAACCCCTGAAATAAAGCTGTGTTAAAGAAAATAGCAATGTGACAATATTTGCCTTTGTATTTAGACTGACTTGCACAGTCACTTGAGCAGGTTCAGCACCGCAGTACTGTTTTCATTAGTCTGGATTTGGAGCTGGGGGAGTCAGAGAACCTGTGTCAGTCCATGTGGGGTGAGAGATATCAGCCCACCCTAGATCTGTCTACCTGAACCGCTGTGGCCAAGAGGCTAGTGGAGCATGCTGCATAGCAGTGGAGTGTTAATGGGACGAAGCTTGTAGCAGGGGAGCAGAGGATGTGTTTATGTGCAGCAGTATGTGGCCTTTCTGAAAGTGGGTGGAAGCCCCGCTGCCCAGCCCCATGGCTGTTCCTGCAGCACATGGCCAGGGCTTCTGCCACCCTGGCTGTGCTGTTACACATTGTTAATTAACTTCTGCTTGAAGTGCCTGTAGCCAGAGTGGTACGTCTGGAAGAGACTTGGTGTCAGTGGGAAAGGGTGAAAATCCCTTCACTACTGCCTATTCTTGTCTTTGTGTGAGGAAGGGAGTCAGTGATTTGGTGCTCATCAGGAGCGTCAGGTTCAATGTCACTGGCAAAGGCTCATCTCCCACCAGCTCACCCCCTGCGTAGGGCTGTGAGTGCTGCTGCTGGAGGAGAGCTGCTCTGGAATGGTCTCATACCAGATGCATTAGCGCGGGCCAAACCAGTCTGACTGGCTGTGATGCGTAAAGGCAGATCCTACTCTTGCTCTGTCTCCTTTACTCTAATTTAGACTGGTCCATCCAGTCTACAGTGCAGAACCAGTAGCCAGCACCTTTCCAGGCACCCTCTAAATGAAATAGGTGGCCACTGCAGCCTCGTTAACCTCTACTCTGGCTGCCACAGCGTGCGTTCTCTCTGCAGCATCTCTAGATCCCGTGTGCCTGATCTTGCCTTCCTCCATAGTGCTATGACCTGAAGGGGAGCCCTTTGCAGCTCTGTGCTTTTTAGCATGAAACATTTACTTGTTCTCCTTGGCTAGATACTGTGCACAGTCCTTGCCTGCATGATAGCTGCAGTTACGGAAAGGGTTCTTGGTCTGAACTCATGACCCAAAGCTCTTGTGGGTGTAGGATGGGCTTGTGTGAATTGGAGTGCATAGCAGCAGCAGCGTCCAGCTTCCTGCTCTTCAGTGGTTATTTGTCTTTGCTTTGTATACAGTCACTGGCAGAACACTCATTTTCAGGTTTTAAATTGGAGGAGGATTTCTGAAGGTAATGTGTGTTTTGAAGGCAGAGCTGATGCGTCCAAGAGTGAAGTGATGCCTGGAGTATTGAAGCACTGGGAGTTTTCCATAGATAATAAAAGAGAAGTTATCACAAAAATAGCTGTTATTAAAAACAGTCACAAAACAAACTGTCGGGAGATTTTTTTTGTATCTGATAAGGAAAATAAGAAGATAAAATGTTAGATCCAGGCAGTGAAACTTTAAGCTAAGAGGGATTTTTGCTGTTTCCTTCTCAGTGGCCAGGATTTCAGCTCTCTGCTCAGACTTGTTAGAAATCTCCAGGCTTGGTTATAATTTGAGGGCCACTTCCCATCTTGTGTAAGACCAGTCATAACTTTGTGGAGCAGTCCTTGAGCCTGTGTGAGCTGTTCGGCATCTTGCAGGAAGCGGTCCTGTTGGGTGATGAGCCTGACTGGCAATCCCACGCAGGGAAAGTTCCCAGTGACATCAAAAGGAAGTATATGGGGAGCAGGGAACACAGGATCAAACCCAAGAGATTATAATTATTTATGTAAATCCATTCTGATGATCCGCTGAAACCCCTAGAAGCAACAAGCTGGCTAAATACTCTTTTTGCATATTGCATGTGTTTATTTTGTTGGTGGCTCACCAGCTTGGAAGGAGGGCTGTGTTTCAAATTAAAAGAGCCTACCCTCCCCTCACCTTTTGTTGTCTTAGATGGCAGTTTAATTGGGTCGGGAACTATATTTTTGTCTTAGCTGGGGCAGCAGTGAGCTCAAGCAGCAACAGCAGCCGTAACAAAATGGCAGATTAATTCCTGGTGAATTTGCATCACATTGCATTGGTTGTGCCCTGGCAGTTTGGTTCTTGCAGAGCACAAATGACATGTACAGATGAGTAAAGCTGCTCAGCTGCAAGTTGCTTTGAAACTTTTTAAGCCTTGAGCTTCCAGGAGCACGAGCATCACCTGTCCTGCTTTTGGGGTTATGCTGCTCTTGTAGTGGATGCACACGGAGAGTTTTGAGCTCTCGAGATGAAAAATGCTCTTGTGAGTGCCATGTGCTGTGAGTCACTGTCAGGGCAGCACGGCACCTGGAACAGGATTTGGTGGAGCCAAGGTAGCATGGAAGAGTAAACAGCTTCTTGCTGAGAGCTTCGTCTTGTGTCACGAGTTAAGAGATTCTGCAGTGCTCTGTGCTGGGAGAGGCATGACAGAACAGCTTGGCATCGGGCCTGTTTCCTGATCCAGCGGGCAGAAAGTAATGGTGGGGTGAGCAGTGCCGGCTACTCCATGTCTTGAAATAGCAGCAAGACTGCGGCAAGATTTCAGGGTTACATTTGTAATGGATCTAACCAGTGCAGCCTACTTGGATGTCTTCAGGTGCTGCTATAAAGACACTACCTACCTGCTGAAGAGAGTTCACAGGCGCAGCCAAGGGGTGGGCAGAGCTCAGTAGTCCTATGCCATATTCTTATAATTACAAGAGCAGGTTTACTTAGAAAAGCTTCTGTTACCTTTTTTTTTTTCCTAGTTGTGCTCCCTTTCATTTCCACAGTAGTTTTTTAAGCACAGAGTTGTGTGTTTGCTGCATGAATAGCAAAATAAAATGATGCCAAAAGCTTAATTTAAAGTTGTTATTCTGATTTCTGTCCAAAATGTAATTGTTTACTTTACCATTGCAGTATGTACACATGGCACCAGCAGCTGGCTGAAATGATTTTTGGGCCAGATTCATTGAAAGTGGTGTAATTTCAAAATAGTCCCTTCAGCTGGATTCTCGATGGACAAAGGCCGTGAACCCATGGCTGTGGAGGGTATGGCTGGTGTGTGTTGTGTGTAGAGACAAAATCTGTGTTAGTATATGGGAAACCAGCAAAATATTTTGTTCACACTTTAAATGGGTTTGTCAGTGTTCTGCTGATACTTCGTTAGAAACTAGAACAAAATAAGAATCCTGTAGGCAGACACAAAATCCCCGCCCTCTGTCTTCTCTTTGACCCAAATCCCTGGATCGAATGGGTTTGTTTTTTGGGCTGCCAGAGAAGGTTGGGAAGTGTAGAGGATTTATCTGATGGAGCAACTGGGATGCAG